TAAATTTTTATATAGAGAGAAAATTTCAATTTTCACTATGTTTTATTAGTAAATTTAGTCTCTGAGTCATTACTTTTGGTCATCACTGTATCTTAAATAAATAAATAAAATTAATTAGCTTATAAAATAAAAAATAATCAGAATAAAAATAAAAAATAAAATATATTTTTTAATTAATCTGATTCTAGAATTTTTTATGTTCTTTTTTTAAATAGTTTTATATTTTTTATTTCAACTTTGCTTATGCACTATCAGAAACTCAAGATTGGAAAAGTCCAAGAGAAAATATCTATAATTTTGCCTCATTGCAGAATAATATCTATTAAAATTATTTCATAAATTACAAGATTATTAAAAAGTCTTTAGCCTCATTATTAATAAGTTTTACTTCTGTATCTCACTCTTTCTAGTAGATTTCTAACTCTTTATACTTAAGCAGAGTATTTTTTGATTTGCAAAAAATATCAACATTTTTAGTAATTATTATATTTGATTCAAGACTTATAATAACTTCTATCACATCTAATAATTTTAAGACTGGTATTTTTATATCTTTTATAATTAGTTTTTCTTTTGCTTGTAATTGATATACATCATATTTTTCATATGATAATTTGATAATGAATGATTAGATTTCTAATAGTAGTATTTTCCAATTGTGATACTGGATAAGAATATTTTGTTTGCACTCATATTTTATTTTGCAAAAAAAAACTATCTTCCAGATTTTTTTTGATATTTTATTAGATATACCTGTCTTATTTCTTCATTCTTTGTTATTATATTGATTAGACTAAATAATGTAATTATAAGTAAAAATTAAGTTAATTTTCTAATATTACTAAAATATTCTAGATTATCTTTCTCATTCACCTATAATGATATTATAAAGTACTTATATATTTTTTCTTGCATAAAGCAAGATATATTTTACTGACAATCCATCACAATTTGCTTTACCAGTTTTTTGAATATAATTATCTAATATTATAAGATTAGAATTAATAAAAAAATGATCTTTTAATCAAAAATATCTAATAGAACTTATTTAAATTTAGAGGTATTGTATAATAAATTACTAAATAAATATCTGATATATTAATATCTAATCTGAAGATATTAGTGATAACCATAATCTTAATAGATCATTTTTTCCATTTCTTCATAATGAACTTTTTCTTCTCAGTTGGTATTCCATTATGGTAAATACCTACCTTTATATTTTTATCTCTTAAATTTATTCTCAAAAAATCTGCAATTTTATAACAATCTTTTTGAGTCATGTAATAGATTATAGAATATTCAGAAATTGATTTTATTTATATAAATAGTTCTTTAAGATTTTCTTCTCTAGATTTTTTTTTATAATTTCATATATTAATTTATCATATTTTAATATGACTTCATGTATTATTTTTATATATAAAAAATCAAGATCCAGATTTATCACAATATCTTAAGTATTATTATAAGTTAAGATTATAATTATCATAAGAATTGAAGCTGTAGAATAAATAGTCTTTAATTGAGATAGATAATATCATAACTTACTAATATTAAAATAAATGATTATATATGTAAGAATTTTTTTTGTATCTTCTTGATATATTATTGATTCTTACTAAAAATAGGCATAATTCTTTATATAATATACTTCATCACTTATAAAATAAATTTCTTGAAAGATGATCATATTTTTAAGTAATATTTTAAATTGAGTATTATATTTAAATTTTTTTGGAATTATGAATAAAATACAGATAATTTCTGAAGAAATTTTTATAAATACTTGCTCTTAAAAATTAGGTGATTGATTATCTAATACATAAAGATCAGCACATGAAATTTTAGTAGTAATTATTTTTATTTATAAAAATATAAATCTTTAAATTATTTACAAAAAAATTTTTAAAAAGAAAAATTAACCTATCACTTGATCATTAATTAAAGATTTTAGAAAATTAAATATTATAATTAATCCTAAATTCAACAAAGCTAATACTGAATAATATAGTATCTTTTTATCACCAGTTTATATCAATAAAAATATATCACTTTCTTAAATATATATTATGATCATTTATTATTATACATCATAAAATAAGCTAAATTCAAATATATTTTGTAATACTGAATTAGCTATATCATTCAAAGATTTAAATTCACATTTATATTTTGATATATTAAAAGACTTATCAAAAACCTGATTTCAAAGCCATTAAGAATATGAAATTGATATACTTGACAGAGTTTCCATAGATAGAATCTTGAAAAGAAGTAAAATCCAAGATATTTAATAGTAATTTTAAAGTTTTCAAGCAATAATGTAAAAGAGAGTTTAAATTCTTGTCAAATCATGCTTTTCTATGCTTTAAGATCATAAAATATTAATTCTTAACTAAAGTCAAAAAGTTGTAAATTATTTTGTTATGCCATAAATTCTACTACCTATTTTTTATTTTGATTTTATCACTTATTATAATTTCTAAGCTTTTAAATATTTCTCTTCTTTACCAATTTTTCTAAGTTTATTATATCTTCTTTATTAAATATTTGTTTTTCACATAAATTTCAAATATTTTATAATATTTTTACTAGTCTTTCATTATTATAAATAATTATCAGAATATATCATGCTTCATATAATTATCAGAAATCAAATAGCTTATTCATAAATATAAATTTAATTCAATTCATAGTCCTATTATTTACAGTTCATAAGGTTGTTAGAAGAAATTGTTTAGCAAATAATCTGAAGATATTTTGAATTATTATTAAAAATTCACTACATTCTTTTATAATAGAATCTTTAAGATTTGAAATTAATAGATCTAACTCAGAATTATCTTTATATCAATAGATCTTATTCTAATATAGAATAATTATTCATAAGATATTTAAGAAGTCCTAAACTTCTCAAAGTTCATTATCTGTTAGAATATTTAATACATTATTTTTCTTTCTAAATTCTGCTATATATATACAATTATTAAAGTATTATATTATTTGTGATATATATCTCTTCTATTTATTATTTTTCTCTATTTAAAATAAGTAGAAATTTCAGTTTAATCATTTAATTTAAATTTTAATAGATTTAACTTATCAAAAGATTTTCTTATATTTTTATTTAAATGCTTGAGATCCATAAAGATCTTGTTTATATATAGGATATACTGCAATAAAATCAGACAAAGTAAATATTCTTAAATAAGAAACTGATATAGCTAAAAGTTAATCAATTTAACTAATAACATTTTGAAATAATGATGCTCATTTATAACTTATGAACTTGTTAATTTTAATGCTCACTTTATCATATCAGAATATAATAAATATAAATCATAACAGGATTAATATATATAGGATTATCTTTATATAAAAATATAAATATGAAACTAATCTACATTAAATTCATTATGGAATCAAAGAATTATAGTACTGTTAGAAGTATATTAAAAAAAGAATAAGGAGAAAAAATTGTCTTATATGTTTTTAAAATGAATGATACCAAAATTCTCAAGGAATATCTAGATCAAGAAAAAATCACTTATAAAATTTAAATTATTTCTTTACTTTTAATCAAGCTCATCTCTTATTTTCTTTAATTTCAATTTGAACAATGTATTGAGTCTATTATTTTCTTAAGAATTCAACTTTACTTTCAAGTCTTTGAATTTTATCTAATAATTTTTGTTTTTATTTATCATATCAATTCTTTGAAATATCTAAGACTTTCAAGTGTAAACTGATTTCTTCCTTAGTACTGGCTAGTTACTATTTTAAATTCTTGTTTTGTTATTCTAATCTACCCATATAACTCTGAGTTATTATTTCAGTTATGATTGGAGTTTTAATTGATAGCTCATCTTTTCTTAAATCACAGAAGCAATCTATTTTATTTCTCATAACTCAATCACAATTATTACAATATGATAGAGCATCATTATCAAGATCCTTTTTGCATTCAACACAGATATAAGCAATATCACTATAATCATTATTACTAGTATTGTAAAATAATATTTTGTAAGTAGCATTTAAACTTTTTTCTTTTTCAAAAGAGCAAAAATTGTAATGTCATTTATCTTCTCTTCTTAATTCAATAGCTTGATATTCTAACTTTATTATTTATTCTTTTGCAAGATGTATGTGTTGAACTTTTCTTGAGTTATTGCTTTTGCTTGCTTAATTCTGCTTTTTGCTTTGTTAATTAGAAGTTTAAATTTATTTTGTTTCTTTAGCAAAGTTTGTAATTCTTGAAATTGCTTGTTTGTTAAATAATTCTGCCATGCCACAACATTTTCTAGCATCTCTATTTTTCTTGAAGCTTTTTCTAAGTTGTCATCTTTTTCTTTGCTTTGCCTTACTCTCCATTGTCTAGCTACTTCAAGAGCATCTAAATGATATTTAGAAATATTTTCCTCTAATTCTAATGCTTCTTCCAAGACTTTTTGTTCTGCTTCTAATTGCTTAGTTTTTTCAAGCAATCCATTCTTCTCTTTCTCTAAATTAGTTGTTAAGGATTGTAAACCTTTAACTTCTTTATCAGCTTTTACTTATCAAGAAAGTGCATTTTGATGCATGTAAATAAGACGAACAAGACTTTTTCTAAATTCTTTGTCTTCTAAGTGTTTTAAGACATAAGGGCGAAGTTAAAAGTAATCTGTAACTGCTCTTATCTCTGCCTCATTTGGATTTCAGTTTAAACTACCAATTAGTTCTTTTATTTCCTCTTCAGTTAAAATATTGTTTTGATTTGTCATGATTTTAATTCCTATATTATTATTTTAATATTACAAGATTAAATATAAAGAATTTAATAGTAATAAAAACAAACAAAACTAATAAACTAATAAAATGTGCGGTTGACTAAAATGTTTTTATTCATTATCAGTATAGATTGGTTTGGGACAAGTAATATCCTTGAATTTGTCTCTAACAAATGGGCGAATATTATGATAAAGATACTCTTGTCTTTTGTAATCCAAAGGAGACGGAGTTAGAACTAAAATAGAAAAAAATTTAATTTCTTTGATAATTTCGGAAACACTTGCTTTTCTGGTTTTCAATAAATTAAATTCAGTATACGAACCATTAGCAACCAGCTGAGCTTTGACGACTCCTGGATGAGTTGCTTCAAAGAGAAAATGCTGATATTTTTGTAAACCATTCAATTTTTTAAAGAAAATTCCCAATACAGAATTAAGATCTAAGTACTGAAAACCTTGTCCGTTGTCATAGCACTGAGCTTTGTTTAATCCTGCTGTACTTGATTTTTTCACAACCTCAATAATATGATTCACACAATCCACAGTTGTTTTTCGATAAAGCTTTTTAATCAATCCAAAACTACCATCACACTTGAATTTAGTATGTCCCGGTACCATAAAATTTAATTCGATACTTTCATAATAGCCGCAGATTACTAAAATCAAATGGTGGCATTATTTTTATTCTGCCCACCCGCATTATCGCAAGTAATCTTTAAATGTTTTTCGCCTTTATTCAATCTCTTAATTCCATCGAATACCATGCTCAACGTACCATTAGGGCCTTTACCGATAATTTCGTTTTCATCAAGAACGTAATTAATTTGTTCGCGTACTGCTTCATCTTGTATACCAAATAAATGCACTTTACGCGGACTAAGATAATAAATCTTACTTACCTGTTGATCGGAATGGGGCACGTGAACGTTTTGTGCTCAATCGTAACTGTAATGAGCAATCGCGTCAATACTACAATAATCAGCTTTGCCTCTTGTTATAAAATGCTCATTTACCAATTTCCTCTGTTGTTCTGCTAATTTCGTATTTTTGTTGTAATAGTTTCTCTCTAATTTAGCTTTAACTAGATGTTCTTTGAATTTTTTCAGTAAATCTTTCGCTTCTTCTTCCTTACGAGCATTATACTGTAAGCCGTTCCGAAAATGTTGGCACGTGTCACATAAATCCGTTCTTGGACTCATAATTTGAATGTAAGGTGTTAATTGGTGCCATAACTTGCGGCATGCATCATATTTTAACAATTTCAATTTACTATCATTTTCGAGACCTGCAATAAAATCACGATAGACCGATTTATAACTCGTTTCAGCTGGCAAAAGCGTAAGCGATTGAGTAATGCGATTGACATTTCTACCCGGACTTGGTAATCCATGTATTTCAGCATAATTTTCAAGAAAATTTTTAACGGCGGTAGCAACGGTTATATCAATGGTTATTTTGGTTTTCCATCGCGGTATTCGTTTTATGTTACCATGAACACGCGGTATTATCCCATTCGCCGCTAGGTGATTTCTGACGTTTTCGAAGTGAGTGCGACCAATCCCTAACATATGGAGATAAGTTTTTTGACAAAGCGGCGTATTGCGATCTCAATAATAAAAGTTCGCTTATTAGTACGCGTTTTCTTTTTAAGACGTCGGCTGGCGGTTATTTCTCCGCCATTCATTGCTTTCAGCTGGGCCATTAAAAATATATCTTGTTCGGATCTAGAAAAAGCTTGAAATGCTTCACGTAATTCGGCAAACTTTTCTCTCGGAATCTTTTTTGAGCAACCACAATGGCAACCTGTCTCCAAGAAACGTGTGGCTTTGTCATATTCAATTGAACCATTATAATTATAATTTTTCATATATGGGTATTCCTATATATAATTTTTATTATTTTTTTGAAACTTTATCGGACTTCTCGTTTTTTTGCCTTCTGAAATGTAGAATGTTCGAACATGATAGCTTCAAAAGAAATTATTCATTATCTAATTTCTCTAGTAACAGTCATCTAAAAGGAGACCGAATGCGGATAACCAGAATGTATTGATAATGAAGATTCAGATGATTCGGTGGTTTTTAAGCGAAGCCAGAAAGAATAGCCTTTCTTTTTATTTACTGCTTCTGCCTTTGTCTTTTCTCCCTGTTCTTGTCCGCTTAACTGTTTCTGTTTCTTCATCCAACAGCCTGCTAGTATTAATTATAAACATTAGCTGATATTGATACACAGACTGACAAAAGCATAAATAAACAAAGATATACCTTTTCTTAGAGTAAACACAAGGTAGTAGCTGACATAAACATTTCCTTTCAATATCTGTAACACATAGCCGGCCTGGGTCATTCCATGCACGCAAAAGATTTTTAAAAATGCTTTCATGGTTGTCGTCAATTTTGAAGGCCTT